GTATAATATATGCATTTATAAAAATTATATAATTAAAAAAAATTCTGATTACATAGTATATAAAGAAAATATTATCAGGAAGCAGCAATCATGATCGATTTAAAAAAATGGTGTTTTTTAAATTATTAGACAATATATCGTCTCTAAGAGTGTAAAGATATAGTTACTTATTTTTAGAAATTTAGATTATGATTCACAAATGCAAATGTTATTAATAATTATATAAATAATATATTAAAAATAGTATATTAATAGTATATTAATAGTATATTTAATAGTATATTAAAAATATTTATTAAATATTATTTTTTAACAATTATGTCACTATTAAGAATGCATTTCAATATTAAAAATGTATAGTTCACATCAAACATATTCTACAGATTATCATTACTAGCAGTGACTATCGAAATGCAGCCTAAAATATAAAGCTTAAAACTTAAAAATTTTGCAATATTCAAATTTCTATTTAAATAAAATATTTCTATGCGAAATAATGCAATCTATTGAATAGTATAGTATAATAGTAAGGAAAGATAAGATAGTAAGGAATTAAAATAACGATATAAATAACGGTTAAATTCATCGTTATTGTAAAATGTAATTACGGTATTGTTACAAACAGAAAAAAATAATGGTAACAACGTTACAAATAACGCGTTAGGCATGAAATACAATTGAAAATCACAGACAATCCTGATAAAATTAAATCAACATGATATATAATTAATATTTTTCGTATAATATTATGAGAATTGAACATAATGATAATTAAAAAATTGTTAAATTATAAAAACATACCAAATCATCGCTGGATTTTTTTTTTAATGTTGCTAAATCTAAACTTGCAGGCTGTAATATCATAGGATCAACAATATCTTGAATAATATAATCTGCTAACGTTGCTAGTTGACTACAAGTTGTTCGAATTTCTTGGACTGGCTTTTCAGCAAATCTATCTCTTTGTGCACATGTAGCCATCTCTATTGATATTTTCATCAATTCAACTTTCTTAGCATGGTATTCTATGTGTCCATTAAATGGAGGATAATCCATCCATCTCACTAAAGGTTTGACTACCATCATAATGGATGCTACATCTGACAATGTTTGAGTGCTAACTGACTCTGAATTTTTTTGCCGACATAACTCCTTGTGTAAGCTGTGCGCTTGGCTTGATAATCGCAATGCCAGCAACTGCAGATTTTCTTTGTCCAGTTCGTAATGAAAATTTCTAAGATATTCTACTGCATTAAGAATAATCTCCTGATGACCGAGCTTTATTACACCCAAACGTTCTAAATCTTGCGATTGTATATTCAATAATTGTTGTCCGTTGACATCATGATTTAGAAAACTATGAATGTAGGGATGTATAGTATTATCCAAACCTATAACATAAAATAATGAAATCATGATAACATTCCTGCATAACTTATAATAATAATTATTTATGACATTTAATATTCATGCAAATTGAAACATCAGGTTCAAACAGCATCTTACTTTGTTTTACGACTAGATTAAGCACAAATTCTTGTAGGATTTTAAAAGATACATAATACTTATTGCGAAAAATATTACTTTGGTCGGACGAACCCGGATTTCTAACATCCTAAGCTTTTAGATCACCAAGGATTCAGCAATATTTTTTGCAACAGCCAATCTGTTATTGCTAATGCTTTGGTGATATAAAGACTTAAGACACTTACATGGAATGTTAGAGATTCAGGTTTGTCTCTCAGCCGAGGTAATATTTATCGCAATAAGTTCTTTACAGGATTTAAGATACATGTAATTAAATTTGAAGAGATTATTAATATTTCAGATATATTGTGTTGAAAGTTCGCAATCCGAATTCATTTCAAAAATTCGTATATGTACTGATTTAACACCTAAATTTGATCATCAAGTGGCATTTCTCATATTTAGGTGAATGTAAATAGTTTTTAAATATCTGCGTAAGTATTTTTTCTATATTGACATTTTCTCTATATTGACAAATCTACTCACAATATAATTTAAGTTCTAAATCATAAGAAATGGGATTTGATCATCTCCACGCAGTTATTATTGACTTATTGTTATACATTATGATATACTATTCATTCATAATTTCTCATTCATTCATGCTTCTGACTTTTGTTCTATTACTAACAGCTTATTAAAAGTTTATTAATGACTTGTTGTAGAAATCCCTACAAGGTCTAAGCAATCTGTTGCCTTACTACTAGCGGTTTGTTTATTAACTAATTATCGTCTTATTATATTATTAATATTTTTTAATTTAATTTAATTTATTTAATTAATAAAGTATGCTACTTTTGATTGTATGCAGTTATATTTCTAATAACTGGAAGTGTATATAAAATGATATATAAAAAAGATTATAAGGTGTAAAAATAGTGATAATAAGTTTATCAAACATTTACTACAGATTAATATTATACATTAAATAATTATCAGTTAAAGAGTAAACTATTAAAATAGTAATTAATAATTAATTTTTTGAGTAAAAATAAAAAATAAAAATTGACACGGTTAATAAAAATAAAAGAAGGCGTATGTACAAACAGAATGGAGAGACAAACAGATTTGGAGCTTCATACGCAAAACTGAATAGGATTCAGACATATTTTTATGACCCAATTTTTTCATGTCTGAGATGTACTGTCAGGCTGATTAAACATTTTCGTCGTACCTTTCAACCACTCGCACACTTGATCGGCTTTCCATTCGGCTATATTTACATAAGCCATCGCAAAAATATAAACTGATTCAAGCACAAACAAGTTCTCACAGATCTGACACTTTGTCCGCGGCTGTTCCAATTTTTATTCGCTCTTATTACCCATCCGCTTTGATAGTTCCACAAAAGTAGGTACATAAAAATAAGTTAATGGCGCGAGCAACACGAATCAGCATGCGTTCGGAAACGAGCTGAAAACAAAACAGATTGTGTTCAGAAATTCACCCGGATGCATCCAAAGACATAAAGCCTAATTTACATCGTGCACTTACTAACTAGTAACTTTCTATTAAATTATTTTAATTTCAGTAATATGTATATAAATATATATATTTAAAAAATGATATACTAAATTGAAACAATAAATGCATAAAAATAATTAATTAAATGCACATATCATGTATATGTTTACACATAGCGCCAAAATTAAAATAATTGATAAAGAGGATAAATTTTATCTTCGTAATCTATTTTCCACCAATCAGCACTTGTCAAATCATTGTTCGTCCATATGAGAATTCAACTTTAATCTATTAATAAAAACGAGCATTAATGATTGCTATAAACAACTTTGAAATAAATTGTGTGCGATTGGCTCAGTTTTATAAATTTATTTAGAGATTAAATGTTATCTTTCGAAAGATAATTGTTGTCATTTACATAATTTACATAATTATATAAATTTATATATTTGTTATATAAATATGAAATGCATTATGATTTGTTGTAATAAATACAATTATTTTATCATTTTTCGTGATTTGGATAGGTTAGGTTAGGAGTAAAATAGGGTAACTGTTTAGTTTAGAATACACAAAAAATGGATAAAAATATTAATCGACACGTTTTTTTTTTTTGTGAAATAGACGAATCTAGCAGAAAAGTGTTGCTCTGCCTCGTGGAACGAGATATTAAATTCGATGACTATTAAGGTTAGGAAATGTCACATGTGTATTCACTTTAGATATTTGCTTTTATTTGTCTGTTTTATGCCCATTTCCATCAATGTAGATTAACTTCAATTTACTCTTCGTCTTTTTCTAACCTTTAAAACTAGAAAAAGACGAAGAGTAAGTTGAATCGAAATTAAAGTTAATCTACGTTGGTGGAAATGAGCATTAATCATACAAATCCTCTGCTTTATAAATACGAATTCTCTGCTTTAAAAATAAATTCTTTCCTTAGAAACACAAATTTTCTGCTTGAAAAACAATTATTTTATATAAACAAATTATATAAACAAATATTTTCTTACATAATTTTTTTTTAAGTAGAGAATTTGTGTTTTTAAAATAAATACCTAAAACAGTGAAAAAAACCTAAAATGCATGCGCATGAGCATGAAAGATGATTGCTCGTATCGTAATATTGGGATGGCTGTGACATATTTTCTAACCTCAACAATCGTCAACTTTAAAAATTGATATCTCGATTCACAGAGCAGAGCGACACTTTTTTCCAAATTCGTTTATTTCACGAAAAAAAAAGTGTCGATTAATATTTCTTTAAATTAATTTTTGTTTGTGTATGCTAAACTAAATAAGTACTTAAAATAGAAAATAAAACCAGAATAAAGCCAATCAACGTTGATGCCGACAGGAAAATAACTAGGCATTCTTACGAAGTACGAATGTTCAACGTGTCAGTCCAACGTGTACAAAAATTCCGGGAAAGGTATATCGCCTTCGATAAAGATTATCTTTTGTGCTATTCAAAATTGCTAATTAACCTATTTTTGTGTATTATCGTAATAATTATTGTAGCTTTTAACGGTTGTTTGCTAGATCTTTACAAGGATATGAATTTTTCAATTTGCTTTTTAAAACATACACGGTTGATTGTCACTGTACAAATGTCAATATGACATGTGTATATTATTGAATGTAATGTGGATTGTACAAAATAGATTTTATTTTAATTATTTTATCTTAATGTATATTATGAATCGAAAGTAATGTTCTATATTGTAAAACATATGTATCATATGTATATTGCGAATGATTTTTTACTGTCTCATTGATTTATTTTTTCTTCTGCAAATAAATCATTGTTTTTTTTATCATTTATATTTACATTCTTAACAATTACCTTTATACCTTAATAGTAATTAATATATCACACGTGAATGTATTATACATTTTCTTTCTTTTCATGATTGTAGAATCAAAACTGATTGTTTCGTAAGAGAGAGAAGAAAAGTAAATATTTTTTTTTTTAATAAAAAATGAGGTGATATTTCTTATAATTCTAGGAAAAATGTAGTTTGTGAAAAAATATCTCTAAGTTTTAAAAAAGTTCAAAAGACGTTACCAACATGAACAAGACTTCACAAAGTTAGTATTATGAATATTTATAAATGTTATGCATTAAATATTCTCTGGCATACATATAAGCACCGAGATATATATGTTATAGGAACTGGACAAACATTAAAGTTTGTGAGTTTAGTTACTCTCACAGTTCAAAATGCTATGGTTGGCCTTAGCATGCGATATTCACGTACCAGAGCAGGGGACATGTTTCTTTCTTCCACTGGTAAATATTATAAACTGTGTTACATATAATACAGTCAATCTTAATATTAGTCTTCATATAATATAGAAAATCCTTGTTTCATTCACAGATAACTATGTCATCTTTTTTTTTAGCTGTTGTGATGGCTGAAGTAGTCAAATTGATTACTTGTCTTATATTAGTATATGTCGAAGAAGGAAACTTTGAAAAATTTTATAAAGCATTACATATGACAATCGTAAAACAACCTATTGACACTTTGAAAGTTTGTGTGCCATCCCTTCTGTACATTATTCAAAATAATTTACTTTATGTTTCTGCATCTAATTTAGATGCAGCTACGCATCAGGTAAGACATATCACTAAATGTTTTGTCTACTTCTAAAAGATGTAGAAGAATAACAATTAATATGAATTAATAAATATTTATTAATATATGAATAATATGATTGGTTATATTATTTACATATAAAAAAGTCATTAGCTGTACTTGACATTTTTTTGAATGAAAAATTTTTCTCATTCAAACTGGCATAAGAAATTTCTATTTATTAAAATGCCTTTGAATGGTTTTGCAGCTGGAGGAAAGAATTAGTTTTGAAATTGATAGATAGGTAGATTTTGAAATTGAAGTGTCCATTATTTATTTTTTTCATAAATGCAGAAACAGTTAATATTGACTTAAACAGAATTTTTATGATTTTTATGATTTTGAAGCTTTTTTATTATCATTTTTAATATTAAAAAGAAGTGACACATTACAAAACATAACATTTAGATATTTATTGAAAAAAAATTTTTTTTTAATTTTTATGTCAAATTCAAATAAAAATAAAATATTGACCAAAAAGAAATATTGACTAAAAAAAAAAGAAATTTATAAAAAAATAAATAAAAATTAAAACAGGAATAAATCTAAGTTGATTAGATAATATTTAACTCTTTCTGCAACTTGATCTTTTTTCTTGGTGAATTTTATGGGATTTATAGCATTTTTAAAACATTCAATTCGTAATCAAGAAACAAAGAGATTCAGAAATTCCAAAATATCTTACTTTTTTTTTATTTGTGGATATAATTTCTTTTACATTATCGGCTCTTCTGTATATGTGTGCGTGTTGTATGTAGTAAAGTTTATAATATATTTGAAATATATTTTCAGGTCACGTATCAGTTGAAAATTTTGACGACAGCTTTCTTCGCAGTGACGATATTACGTAGATCTTTACATACTACCCAATGGGGTGCTCTTGTACTCTTGGTTATTGGAGTAGTTCTGGTACAATTGGCACAAACTGTAAAAGCACAGTTACCTTCGGGTATTGAACAAAACCACTGGTTGGGTTTTTCTGCTGCTTTAAGCGCGTGTTTTCTCTCTGGCTTTGCCGGAATTTATTTCGAGAAGATTCTCAAGGGTTCCGATATTTCCGTGTGGATGCGAAACGTACAATTGAGTGTGTTATCTATACCGTTCGGCCTAAGCACATGTTTTTTACAAGACAGTAGTATTATACGCAAGCAAGGTTTCTTTTTTGGTTATGATTTATTCATTTGCTACCTAGTGATCTTGCAAGCGGGTGGTGGATTGATTGTAGCTATGGTAGTCAAATACGCCGATAACATATTGAAAGGATTCGCTACGTCTTTAGCTATCATAATTTCTTGTATAGCTTCCGTTTATCTATTCGACTTTCACTTGTCGTTCCAATTTACTTTGGGTGCATTTCTTGTCATCTGTTCGATTTTCCTTTATAGCCACCAACCGAAAACTGCATCCCTCGATAAACATACATCTGCTGAGAAAGTCTGATAATAGTGAAAATATAAATTTTTAACGAGGTACTCAACTTAAGTCTTAAATTCTTATTAATAGTTAAATTGATGATACATGGACTTTAAAATACTTATCTACTTAAAGGTAGAAATAATTTAAATGCAGTAATTAAAATAATTGATGCATTTAAATAGAACAAAAAAGGTTATATTTATAGAGACTTAGAAAATGCTATTTTTGAAAAAAAAAATGGTGCAATCAATCATAAGCTTTTTGTTTTAAAAAAGAATGAGATAATTATCACGTTGTATATATATATATATATATATGAAAGTCACGTGCAATCACGTTTTATATCCGATTTTCATTCTGAATTATGATAGTCAAGATGAAAAAGTTAAGAATGGCAAACAAAACAGAAAAAAGATATTAAAATGAAATTATTTACCTATGTGTTATGAACATAATAACATTATATATACTCATTTATTTTTATATAGCTTCCAGTTCAATTGAAATGTATTGCTATAGGCCAGTAAGTTATATTCACACTGTGTACTTAATTTAAATAGACTTTAATAAATACAATTTTTACGAAAATTTTCTTATGTATACACAATAATATGGTTTTTTTTCCAGAAAATAAGTTCCAACTTTTAAAATATTTGTCAAATCATGAAATAAAACTATATTTGTATGAAAATTAAATTTAAACATGGTACAAACTTTACGTTATATATTCTAAAAAAGAAATTTATAATATTTCAATCTCTATAAATATTGATACTTCATGATTACATAATTAGATTAAATTTTTTTTAATTAATTCATTAATTCATCACGATTTATCATCACAATTCAATTATATTAATTATATAGATTATTTATTTTTGTGTTGATACAAATCAGGTATAATTAACAGTTTCAATTGTTATTTGTTCCAATTATCTCGCACAAAATTTTGGATTAAAAAAATCTTTATTGCGCGCGCATTTATAAATTCATTTATTTTCGCGCGGTTGGCCAACCTACTATCGAGATTCAACCGTTATTTCATTGGATAGGTTTCTTTTTTTCGAACATACTGATTGAGCATCGGGAATACGATCTTGGGTTTTCGAAAATTCTCTATCGAACGGCCAATCGCCGCGTTCAATGGATGTGTCGTAGATGCGATACGATGAGATATCAGTGCTTACGGAGCATTTGCGTGAGTGAGACATCAAAATTTTTCATCTCTGCTAATCTCTACGCGTACGCATAAATACCTACGGCGACCATGAGCGAGCCTCAGTCAAAGAAAACCAAGACCATGAGTTCGTTAAATCAGCTGAAAGACCTTACTACGATTGTCGCCGATACCGGCGATTTTCAAGGTAATAAATTCGAATTCGGTTAGTAACGACGGCAGATACTTGTAATTTGTAATACGTCAGCGTAAAAGTGACGGGAGGAGGGAGATATTGCAACACTTGCACTTTTTTCGAATTCGTCCCACGTGATCTCTTCGAATCTTAATAAGTCTGTTCTCTGTTCTTGCTCTATAACTTTTTTTCTCATCAAATATCAAATATATATTTATTCCACTTTAAATTCTAAAGGGTACGCTAGTTCAACTATGATTATAAGCATTTTAAGATATATTATCATGGTTATCTTAAAATCGTTATATTTTATTACAATTTGTAATTCTTTTTGTTCCCATTGTCAAATTTGAGTATTGATTGTTATGGCACTACTAAAATAATTAAAACTTGCGCCACTTTTAAGACATCCTATACAGGCTGTATCTGAAATAACGTCCACTAATCGTATAGTGTTATTCCTAATAAAAATTGAGATGAAAAGTTTTCTATCAATTGCAATTTTCGCAATATTTTTTTTAGTTGCTCAATGAGCAAAATGTCTAAAATGTCTACGATGTATAAAGTAACTTTAATCCTTGAAGAATTGTTTTTTTTTTTTAATTGATTTTACCATTACTTTTAAACTTTTGGAACATTTTTTTCTAAAATTCCTCTTCAAAATTGATTGATGAGATTAGATATGAAAAATGTTATATTCGAAGGAAATTTTTCACCTTATATACATAACGTTATATAAGATATTCAAGTATTGTATGTGTGTGTGTGTGTGTGTGTGTGTGTGTGTGTGTGTGTGTGTGTGTGTGTGTGTGTGTGTGTAAATATTCAAATATTTTAATTTGAATTCCTTATTCTGTATATGCACATTTTTATCAATGTGATTTTTAAAAGAAACTCGTTAATAATACATGCGTCTACATATTGATGCGTTAACTGAATTATCTGAAAATTAAGAAAATTTTTCTCGCGCTTAATCATCATGTCTTTTGATGATAAAGTGTTATTCCTAATAAAAATTGAGATGAAAAGTTTTCTACCAATTGCAATTTTCGCAATATTTTTTTTAGTTGCTCAATGAGCAAAATGTATATAATAATTTCATTAATGATAATACATTCTTGATTTATCTAAATACGAGTTTATTTCTTCTATATTTGAAATTTTTATCGCAACTTTCCATGGATCTTCCGAAAAATTAAATGATGTTGACTGATCTGTATCCAACTGATAAAATGGTATCAGTGTACACGCGAAATATGACCTTTGCTTATGTATGTTGAACAGTAACCTTTAAAGAGTTGAGTGTTTATCACTCTTACTCTTGATAGATACATTGAACAAAAACGTTTCAACAAATTGTTAATGAACAAATAATAAATGGATATTTTAAAAATGTGAATATAAAAGGATCGAAACAAAATGAAAATAATTATGAATATTACAAACGATAAACATTATTTATATTTTAACAATATTATGTTATTACATTGTTACTCTCACAATAGCTATGGAGCAATTTAAGCCTACAGATGCAACGACAAATCCCTCGTTGATTCTCGCTGCCGCTAATCAAAAGAAATACGCTCATTTAATTGAGAAAGCTGCGGCATATGGCAAAAAATCTGGGTCGTAAGTATATATATA